GCAACACCTTCCAGCACAGTGTATTTAGGCAATGGCTACACCCCTGCTACGTCCCCAGTTATGCTGACCATGATTGGTTAAACCCAGAATTGTTTTTTTTCCATATTACTTTTCCTTTATACCTTCTTTTCCAAATCGTAAACAAGATAATTAAGAGATAAGATGATGGTATTAGTGCAAAATAACACTTTTGGTGAGTATAGAAGCTTTTCATAGATATCTGTACATCAGACCAAAAAGACAGACAACTGGGAGGCCCTCCTAGGCAGGCCAATTACTCGCCTCTTGAAAAGAGAGAGGAAATTAGCAAATTTTATATTCCTGGCGACTAGACAGACCATAGCCAGAGCATGGAAACAACCAACGTTGCTTTTCTCGGAAGTCAGACAAAGGGTCATGGGCATCATGGTACATGAGAAGCTTACAGCTACCCTGCACGACTCACATGCCTCTTTTCAGAAGACATGGTCATCCTGGCTGGAATATGTCCAGCCAATGAGACTGGATCGTGACCTCTTGACGATTTGATGGTGACGCGCTTGGTTGGGGTGCTGGGGCCCCCCTCGACTCCCCCCCACTCTCCCCCTCCTACCCTTTCCACTTTTCTTTTCTTCCTTTTACCTCAAGGTTCTACTATGGTTTTTTGGAGCCTGCAACACACGATCTAGAATTATTGCTCGGCATACGACCGTTAGCCTCTATTCCCCCACTGGTGTGGCTCCGCTGGTGTCCTGCAGCAGGTAGCTGGCGTCCACACTATGGTTTCCAGATGCTAGCCCACCCCCGGTGATTATACACAGACCGTTACGGTCCCTATGTCCCACTATAGTTTCTGTACGGGGGGCTTTTGTTTTAGACATACCCTTTAATCAATGTTATATGGATATCCTTCATTGGCTCTACACTGGATGACTTTATAAAATGCACTGATACGCCGTTGTATTGTTCTAAGTCAATTTTCCATTGTATAAACCTGCTGGACCTTACTCCTACTGTATAATCTGTAATTCTGTTCTGTTACAATAAAAATATTTGTACAACGAAAAGACAGACAACTGAGGAGGAAAGAGGGGCAGAGGGATTTGGTTTTGAATGAGGGACAGTCCCTACAAATGAGGGACAGTTGGAAGGGTTAAGTTAGCTTAACCCTTACCCTAAGTCATTGGAAATCCAAACATTTTTGAGTTTTCTTAAGAACAATAGTTGTGGTAAAATCCTGCAGTGGGTAAACCTTTCTCTGGTGACAACCGCCTAAGACAGGGGTAGGCAAACGCCAGCCCTCCATGAGGCATTGCAAGACTCTGAGAACCACAGGCATGACTCCCAGAGGCAGATGCATGATGGGATTTTAAGTTTAGCCACAGCTGAAGGACCAGAGTTTGCCTACCATTTGGTCTAATAGGTCATATTCCCTTGTTTAGAGAGTTCTCTTCTTACTTTCTACTATGCCTCCAAGACAGGATGTTAAGAAAAATCACCTAGATGGGACACAGGAAGAGAAAAAAAACCTGACGTATTCTAACCCTTCCTACCGTATCCAAAATACCCAAAAAAACTTTACAGGGTAAAACAATACAATTCCTGTATGAATTTAGGTCTGCAGTTGTTGATTAAGAAAACTGAATGTAACAAAATACATATATTCCCCACAGGAAGAACCCACAAATGTGTATGTGTATAGATTACAGTAGTGTAGATATGGTACCGCAAGCAGGTACAAATTATACATTCAAGCACTGGCTGAGCTGAATTATTTATCAGCTTGAAATTTTTTTTTGTGACTGGAGAGTCTCTTTAAGTACTTTGCATTTCCCAAGAAATGAGCAGCTGTATAAGAATCTAACTTGGTACGTTGCTGACTGACATAATTAGTGTAATAGGCGAAGGATTCACTTCATGTGCTGAAAGGCAATTTGACTTCTTTCAGGCTAATCTAATTTTCCCTAATTAAATCGAGCATCACTGCAATTCTGGTTGTTAGGAAGGACGGAAGTTAATTTTTAGCATCACCTGTGGGGGTCTTTTGAGAAAAAAAAGGAGTCAGAGGTATAGAGGTTCTGTTCATCAACGTCAGAAAATGCCCCCCACCACCACCACCTTCCCGGTTTCTAGGATATCTTTTGTTCTGTGTAGGTGTGTGTGTAAGACAATGGTTCTGCGGTACACTTCTTGTGATTTCCCATGGTAAAATGAGGTTCAGAAGGTAATGTCAAATCTAGCAATCACTCTACATAGTCTCTGCATGAAATGCGGCTGCAGATAGTGGGAATGAAAGGAAAATTTGAATTGGTTTTGGCCAGTTTTATCGTACATTTCTCTACTTATATATAGAGAAGAGATAGTTCCGGCTAGCCACAGCCCACCTTTCTCAAAGCCATACAGATATTGTTCCGGCTAGCCTCAGCCCACCTTTCTCAAAGCCACATAGAATATAGTCCAAGCTAGCCTCAGCCCACCTTTCTCAAGGCCATATAGAGATACTTCCAGCTAGCCACAGCCCACCTTTCTCAAAGCCATACAGATATTATTCCGGCTATCCTCAGCCCACCTTTCTCAAAGCCATACAGATATCATTCCGGCTAGCCTCAGCCCACCTTTCTCAAAGCCACACAGATACAGTATAGTCCAGGCTAGCATCAGCCCACCTTTCTCAAGACCATATAGAGATACTTCCGGCTAGCCAAAGCCCACCTTTCTCAAGGCCATAAGAAAGGTTGGCTGTGACTCACCAATACATTGGCATAATAAAGCAAAACATGTGGTGTTCCTCATACTCCTTTGGAAGTCCTATGTGGGCCTACCCTACCTTTGGATATAGCATTTCCTGGAGCACTAATGCATTTACTTGGGGCTGAGTGCTGATACCACCCTTCTATCTCTGGATATAAGTAAACATCCTTTGAGTTCTTGAGTGCCTACCCTACCACTGGCTATAGTAATTCTTGGAGCACCAATGCATTTACTTAGAACTGAGTGCTGATACCACCCTTCTATAAGTAAAAGTCCTTTGAGTTCTTGAGTGCCTACTTTACCTTTGGCTACAGCATTTTATGGAGCCCCAGTGCATTTACTTGGGGCTGAGTGCTGGTACCACTACATACAGTTTTTAAAAGTGCTTTGAGTTCTTGATTGCCTACCCTACCTTTGGCTACAGCAATTCTTGGAGCACAAATACATTTACTTGGGGTTGAGTGCTGGTACCACCCATCTATCTCCATATATAAGTAAAAGTCCTTTGAGTTCTTGAGTGCCTACCCTACTTTTGGCTATATGATTTTTTTTTGAGCACTAATGCATTTACTTGGGATTGAGTGCTGATACTCTTCTATCACTGTATAAATACTGTATAAGTAAAGTCCTTTGAGTTCTTTCCTACTCAAACTTTGGCTATTTCTTCTCACTACACAGAGAGCACAACTAAAGGTTTGGTGTCACACTGTCACTCCCTACATAAAAGTTTGTACTTAGTCCTCTGAGTGGAGCAGGCTGGGAGGTGGTGGGATAAATGGGTCGCTTCTCCGAGTCATTCAATTGTGTGTGTAGTCATTCTCTGAAGAAGATTGGTTCAAATTATTTTTTTTAGGTAGGCAATGAGGAAACATACTCAGCTTTGTTAGCTGGGTGTGTAATATTAAGCTTGAACTACTGGACGCAGTATACACAGGCATAGAAAGTAAAGTAAGTGTAAACCCAAAGTTTACAAATTATGCAGGGTATTCTACATACATAGTCGCAGGAGTGAGCCTGTGATTGCCGCTGTCACTGCGTTAATTACCATAAGCCCTAACTGCACATCCCATTGCTGTACAAAAGACTGGACGCATGCTATTCAATAGCCCCATGGCTACAAGCCCTACGGAGGCTTTACAAATGAAACAGTGACAATGCTGCTGCCCTAACAAATGACAGTTGGTGAGAGTTTTCAATCTTCTTCAGGAAGTAGACAGCGCAGCAAATGTAAGTATTGGCAGCTAAGTTAAATAGACTGGCGGTGCTAATTAAAAGCAAATTAGGCTGACAACTTTTAAAGGGGCATGAGCTAGCATTTTTTTTAACCTTTAATTTTTTGGGTTGGAAGAAACAATTGGGAACATTCAACTATGTACATGTCATGAACAACCAGTGAAATAGCTTTAATACTAGCCCTCACTGACCTCTGTAGCTCCAGACACTCTGGAGAAATTCATCCTCAAAGTGTAAAAGAGATCCACCAAAGTCCTGCAAGTCAGGGCACTGTGCTCTGGTCTCTTCCTTGTACCTGTGCACCTGCTCTGTGATTGGATAAGAGATTAGAAAGTTGGAAGACTGCTGAATCACTGCTGGGAGGGGAAAGGGGGGAGCAGGGAAAGCTGAGCTGCTGACATAATGACTTGAATGACTTCAGTGCTGTAAATGTTGATGCTAAATTGCTCCACATTGAAAACATGTTACTATCCATATCCATGGCCATAGGTTCACTTTAAACTAACAACTCCATATAGGCCATCTTTATCCAAAAATTAAAAAATGTCGGAATCTAGTACATGCTGAGACTAAACTCATTCTGGCATGACACATACAGCTGCTAAGTCACTTTAGCTCTGGGGGAGAATGTGAAAAACAGCAGGAAGAGGACTCCTGCATCTTCTGTCATTTTTACTTGAGAAACAAACTATTGATTCTTTACAATAGAATATTTGACAAAATATAATAAAATGTAACTGATGGTTATACCTTTAATGGACACTTGACCTCAGATACATGCTTTGGTGAAGCTTGATGTATAGGCTTCCTGTAATATCATACCCTGGTGATTAGAGTTTTGTGCCAATGAGGAGATGACAGATCATAAATATGGAAATAGAGATGTATTATAAAGAATTTAACAAGAGCACAAAGCTGGGAAATAAAGAGTAGGAGTGACTCTTCTGGTCCCCCTGATCTCATAGGCCCAGGTTTGGCTGCACTCTCTGCACCCTCCTCAATGTTAAACATAAAAGGTAAGTTGGAAAATGACCTACCTGCCCAAAAGAAGGAACTCCCCGACTATCCCCTGACGTCTCATTGCCATTAGCAGTCCTCGCACTGTCATTCCTTCGCAGAAGCAGACAACCACCCTGGCTTTGGGAAGGTGACTCCGCAGCTTTTTCAACAGCTTGTCAAAGTTCTGCTCCCCGGCATTACTGTAGATCTTGTACGAATGGGCGATGCAGACACCATCCTTGGCTGACATGTCTTTAAATGCTTCCATCCCTCTTTCCCCATAGTTACCTGGAGGAACATAAAATATGACTTGTGACAAACGAGTTATGATTCAGTAATATCCATTATGTTAATGTAATTCCAAAACTTTTTTTGTTGGATAGAATGTGGAAGAAATCTTCTAATGGGAAGACATTTAGGTGACAACTAAGAGGGGATATCCCGACGCTTTGAAGAGATCTCCTTACTTCCCGTTATGTCACTGGGAAAGGAAATCTCTCCGTCTTTCCATACATTTTAAAGCCACCCTTTTCTTTGCCGGCATTTATAGAATCCATTGCCAAATATTTTCTGTTCAGCTGATGAACAATTCCCTGATGCATAGTTAGTGAATAAAAACCTTGCTCCAGTCTGTCCCCAGAGACCAGTTATTTCCCCATTGGATGCTGTCCTCTTCTCCACTCACACAGCATACAGAAGGTGAAGGCTGCACATTTTGGGGAAAGGAGGAGGCGTACGAAACAGGTGTAGGAGCCAATTATAAAGATACCACTATGTCTGGGGAATAGAGAAGTTTCCTAGTAGAAAACTCCAATGTAAACAATAATTACCATCATTTTCTTTTGGTTAATTCTTTATTTTAAATGTTCAAAACTATAAAAGGTATAAAATACAGAATACGAAAAAGGCAGAGTGAGACAGAACAGAGCATATAATAACCCAGAACAGGCTGTGTTAGAGCAAGAGAAGGGTGCAGTTTATACCATCATTTTATTTAACTAGTTAGATGTACTTTTTGTGATTGTTGCTTAGTGTTGGCTCAAAGCATATTTCCACTTTTACAGCCAATTTGGCCAAATTTTATATTTGTTACATGTTCCCACTCACAAAAGCATAAGCAAAAAAATTAAAATAAAATAATACAAATAATTACAAAATGCATTACATTACAAAATTGCATTACAAAATTTCTGCAGTTTAAATTGCTTTTACTTGTTAGGCTTTCTTGGCTTCATAAAATTTCTACTTGGCTTCTCCTTGGTTTGTTATGTTAGGAGGGGTTGTGACGGGTTTGCATTGTCTGTTAATGAAGTTGATGAAAGAAACACATTCCACAAATTTCAGGTCCTAAGTCTTTTTATAAGGATGCTGTGACAGTGCTGGAAAAAAACCCCTCAATTCAGCCATGTTGCCTGCAGCAACTAAACATGTAAAAGGTGTTTTTTTTTTTAATATTTGTATTATGCTGTGTGAAAGGGAACACATAATAAACATATAGAGGAGTTTTCTCAAATTTGACTGCAAAAGTGTGAATATAGTGAGTGAAATGACCTTGGCGAAATTGATTTTTCTGCTAAACTACCAAAATTTGGCAAAATTTTGATAGAAGTAGAAACTGTCAGTTTTACTCACTGGGTTATACTTTTTTAAATTTAGATGTTTTTAAGTTCTAGGTTCGATTTGTTTTTTTCATTAAAGGAGAACTATGGGGTCAGTGTTTTTCCCAATAGTTCTCCTTAGGGTAACGGGAGGACACAAACTAGCGTCCTCCCGTTACCCTAAGCTCAGTATACCGCGAGCTACAGCTCGCGGTATACTGAGATGCCGCAGCCGGAGCGGGTCCCGACTTAGAAGACGGGATCCGCCCAGCTGCGTGACAGCTGGCTCTGCCTATCTAGAGGCAGAGCCAGCTGTACCCGCCCCCTCCCCCGTCCGTTCCGCCAGTCAGCGCTGGCAGATCGGAGCGGGGAGAGGGGAATCCAGCCCCTCCCCCTGTCACGGCAGAGAGCCGTGACAGGATCTAGAGGTGAGCGAACCTGGTATGTGTTCGCTCACCTCCCGATCTACTGAGCCGACCTGTGACAGTCTCATTGTCACAGGTCGGCTAGAACTATGAGGTGAGTGGAAATCACTTATCTCATAGTTCTCCTTTAAAGCTTTTTAGTATTTGATTGATTTAATTGATTCATTTAATTGTTGGCTTAGGCCTTTATAATGAAAGCAGTAGATCACATTTTTAATTGAACTTTTTTTATTTTACTGTCTATGTTTTTATACACACAGATATAATGAGGGGTGATTTTTGTGTATAAAAACAGGTCGAGAATAGCTGAAAGAAGCTTTTGTAACTCTCAAGAGCCTTTTAAAGTTAATTGTACCCTTAAAAATGACCTTAATTTTACCTTCCTCATTGGCTCCAACACATTATGACAAAGTGTTCATATTTTCACTAAATCATAGGACATATGTAATTTCACTTATCCATAGTACTAAACCAGCTTCAGAAAACCTATATACTTCCTACAGAATATGTATGTCAGGAACCGGATCTGAACCCAGGGTCTGCTGTAGCCGGCAGTGGTTCTACCTGCTGAGCCACCTTAGAACCTTGGATAGCTCCTTGCCTGATCTCCTGTTTAATCATCAGTTAAACCTAGTTTCTGCTGAACTCTGAACTCCTTGCTCCGCCCTTGAACTTCCTATTTAACCCATGCCGCTACACTTCCTGTTTGCCAGATTATTGTGCTCCTGCCAATATCTTGCTTCCTGCTCCTTCTGTGATACAATCCTCTCATACTGCTACCCGTGTACCGACCTTTGGCTGCTGATTCACCGACTACTCTCATCGTCTTCCACTTCATACCTGATACCTTTGGCTACTGACCTCGGCTTGATCTCTGACTAGGGTTGCCACCTGTCCAGGATTCACCCGGACAGTCCGGGTTTTGGATGCTGTGTCCGGGTTTCATGGCAGCTGAAACCCGGACATGAGATGTAAGGCAGACTGGGGCAACCAAAATTAAGATAGGGGCTACTGGCCCCCTCCACTGAGAATAGTCTCAACTGTGATATTTACATATGAATGGGTGGCGATATTTACATCTGAATAAGCCATAACTCATTCTCCCCATAAAAATGTCTGCGCGATGCTAGAGTGTTCGGGTTTTACTTGAAGAAAAGGTGGCAACCCTATCTCCGACTATGGTTCTGCCTGCTCCTATAGTACTATCTTCTGCTTGTGTGCCGAACTTGGCCTGTTTGACCACGACTTTGCCTGCTGTTTCAGCTACTGGACTCTGAGCCTGATCACAGATCGTGACAATGTAATCTTTATGACTGGCTAAAACACTAATTTCTCTTTTCTTTCCCTTTTCTTGCTACAGAAGCCATTTTGTAATTTGTTGATAACAAACATGACTTTCTATTTTAGCCTGCAGTCAGCGATGATTTTATAAAACCAGAAAAAACATAAAATAACATAATAATATATTATATCTATCTACAGTCTCTCTCTCTCTCTCTCTCTTTCTCTCGCTCTCTCTCTCTCTCTCTCTCTCTCAATATTAGTATGCGATATTTACCTGTCAAAAATTTTAAAATATTTAAACTATAAATATTAAAAAATATTGACTACCTCTGGATTAACAGGGGGTAGCTGTGGGCATAGCATTCTGTTTAGGCTTTTCTTCATTTTCTTTTCATATCTCTATAGGTTGAACTTAATTGACATGTGTCTTTTTTTTAAACCTGACTAACTACGTAACTATGCATATGCTCGCCTGATCCTTGATCCTACAACGGCGACTGCTTACCTCTCTTCCCTCTTCTCCAGTTGTGGTATGGCCCTTGGTGTCAATGGACCTGTATTAGACGTAATAACATCAGCAGTCTACCAGCCAGACGGAATCAAGGAACAACTGAGTATATTTATTTTCTTTTCTTATTCCATTACAGAGAAAAACGAGCAGTTACCCTTTGCAGTGTGAGGGGTAGCCGCACTGCAAGGGTTAACTTTTTGCATACCCGTGGGTCTTCTTTTTCTTTTAAGACAGGTAAATAATGTTTGACTTTACATATCCATTACTGTTGTTTGCTTTTTTGCCTGCAGTTCTTTTCCATACACGAATAACGCACTCCATCAATTTGTCTTGTGGGAACACATTCAAAAAGTTTTGTTGGAGGCCAAACAATAATTCTTATTAGTTCCGACAGAAATTCCTGGAGATACACAGAACGCTCCCTTGTTCTGAGCCCAATGGCACATCGGAAAGGTTAATAGGAAGCTAAACAATGTTTAGAGATGCCGCCTTTCCATTGCAGATTGTAGATAATCCCCCACAGGAACACAATCAATTTATACTTCTAAATGACGCTCGCCTACAGCACAAACACAACAACATTCGTAGAGTTTATGCATCGGAGTGCGCCCGGATAAATGACTGTTTGGTAATTTGAACCTATCTGGCCTCTTCAGAAATTTCCTTTTTGTAGCTCAAAGCGGAGACGCTTTAATACCTCAGTAATACCATTGTCTACTCTGTTCATGTTATTTCTTTTTTACGTTGTGTTGAAACATTGAAGCAAAGCTCCAGTATTAAAAAAAACAAAAAAAAAACTATTAACATAAAGTAAAATTGAATTAATTACTGTTTGGTCATTTGAACCTGTCTGGCCTCTTCAGAAATTCCCTTTTTTTTAGCTCAAAGCAGAGACGCTTTAATACCTCAGTAATATAATTGTCTACTTTGTTCATGTTTTTTACATTGTGTTGGAACATTAAAGCAAAGCTCCAGTATTTATTTAAAAAAAAAAAAAAAGAAAAGAAAAAAAACAATAAATAAAAGAAAAAAACAAATTATGTTGCAATATTTCCCTGCAATCAGGAGCTGTCTCCTACAGTGCTTCTTTTTTGCCACTAGATCACCGGAGTCTTCATCATTATTCTGCTGAGCCTAGGCTGTTATGTACCCTCCGGCTTTCCCCTAGCCTGCGACTGGACAGTGAAGGAGAAGCAGCACGATGATGATATCATCCCTGTGTCTCTCTGCTTTCTCCTCCTATTAGCATGCTCCCTGACAGAAATGATTGGCTCATTGTGCTGCTTCTTCCTCTCACACTCTGAGCTCTGCTGAGAACTGTCTTTCCTGCCAAAAGGCAAAAAGGATTTGTATTTTTGTCTAACTAGTCCTGAGATGTGCACAGCTCTGCTACACAGTCCTGTCTGGCAAGGAGGGGATCTGATATTTCTTAGCCACGGTTTTACTTTAATTTACCACCAGCCTGTAACT